GAAGGCTTTCATAATTTTAGCTATTTGAAACATCAGCACTTTGATTTCCAAAAAATGTCTATCTCAGTAAGGTTTGCTGCTAGAACATATTATTACACACTGGATAACTTGACGCAAGAGAAATTCATTTCTCAGAGCTGAGGGCTGAAGGTCTGAGATCAGAGTAGCTGCATGCTCAGGCTCTGGTGAGAGAGTCCAGCGCTGGGCTGCAGACCAAGAACTTCTCATTTCCTCTTCACTCACTGACAATAAGCAGGGAAAGCGAGTCTATCACGGCGCTGACATGGACACAAACCCTGCTCTTGAAGGCTTCACTTTCATCACCTCATCTAATCCTTCAAAAGTCCCAAAGGTTCCTGGACTTCTAATAGCAGCATACTGGGATTTAGGATTTCTACACATAGATTGAGGACAACAGAGACTTATAAACACACGGCCCCCAAACACCAGAGTTCTATAAGACACGTTAGTAAACAGTCACATCTGACGGCTGTTAGGGAGAACCCCAAATTAGTAACCAATCTATGAGAAGGGGGCTCTCGGGGCCCCTGACATTCAAATGGCATCAGAAATGGCAGCACTTCTGTGGGAACTGTTCCTCACACTGCACACTTCTACCTTTCTCAGGGTGGTCGTCCCAGGCCGCACACAGGAAAGACACAGATTTGAGACGACACGGGGAGGAGAGAATGGCATAGCTGGTTGTTTCTGTCATGGGAAACGGGAACATCTCTCCACAGAAGACTCTAGTGAATTATGCAGAGTGTCCCTCAGAGCTGCTTCTCTGGGTGACAGGGGGTTTAAGATTTTTATTGAACCCCCTCCCCGGGGGTCAGAGTGTACCCAACATTACTGACTTCCTCACACATCTCTGCTGATTCTGAGGAGGGATCCTCCCTGGCTTTACGGTGTTCACTGGGCAGAGAGCAAGAGAGGGATGCAGAAGACAAGGACCGCGAGCAGCACAGACAAAAGTGCTCCCAACGGGCACTGAAACCCAGGACCAAGATGTGAGCAAGACAGAGGTTTCAGGGAATCTGTGTACACAGGTCTGACCAGTAACGACTACGTCAAGATGGCTGATAGTTTTAGGGGAAGCTTTTGTTTTCCTCTTCAAACATATATCATATACATATGATTCCTTCTTGGCTTCCTGGTCGTTTCGTTCCTGCTTTGAAACCAAGCATGATGCCAGAGCAAAAGCAGACTTGGCGCATTGGGAGCCAAGAAGCATATAAGAAACACTAAGCCCTCACCAAAGCGATGGTCTTCACTCCCAAACTGTTGTTAGGAAGGGAAAATGAAGTTCTGTGTTTAAGCCAAAGCACAAGTGGAGTTTTCTCCTACTGGTAGTGGAACACAGCCCTAAACAGCACACTACCCATGCAGGGAGGAAGGCTGCATTCGGTTCACTAGACTTTGGCCACAGCTCCTTTCATTCAATTGCAAGTCAGTCAAAAAGCTATGGACAGGATGCGGATGTAGCTCAGCGGCACAGCGCCTGCCTGGCAAGCACAAGGTCATGGATTCGATTCCCGGTACTGGAAAACAAACAAAAAAAAGTAATACAAATTTTAAAAAAAAAATTGTTTATAAATTAATAAATGAATATTTAAATTTTAAAAAAAAAGCTATGGACTCATGAATCAAGCTTTGTCTATAAAGAGTCAGTAAATTAAAGCTCTAAATAAAAAAAATAAAAATAAAAAAATAAAGAGGGCTGGGGATTTAGCTCAGCAGCAAAGCGCCTGCCTGGCAAGTGCAAGGTCATGAGTTCAGTTCCCGGTACCGGAGAAAAACCAAAAAAATAAAAAAAAATAAAAATAAAGCTCTAATGCTAGAAGGTTTATAGCCAAACAAAACTCAATAGCTCTTATTTGACAGAGGGATACCAGAAATAATCTACTGTTACAAATACAACTGAAATAGATGTCTTTCTGTGCAGTTGATTGTAAAACTGCAGACATTTTCACAAAAACAAGGAAGAATTCAACAATAAATTTTCCAATATACAAACAAAGGTCAATATTACAATATGTGCTCATTAGCCACAGTAGGGAACATGTTCCCTTCAATTCACATTAGATTTAGATTGCTTCTTACAAAAAACTGCATTTTTTTAACCAATTAGAGTAATTTAACTGTACCTAAACACAGGTTTCTGGAGATATAAAATGTCCTCAACTTGATTAATGATAACACGAGTAGTTAATCAAAACATTATGTGAAAAGTAATTGCCCTCTGTAGAGATAACTGTGACTTTTTTTAAATTGTGCTCTCCAGAGAGTTTGAATTTTGTTCATTCAAATACCACAAGTGATCGATGCTTTTTGCAGCCCCAGAAGCCTGTGTTCCTCAGGGGCTGACTGATCCCTTTGGCCCCAGCTATAAACCTCCCAATGGGAGAAGCACAGAGAGGCCCGGGAGAGCAACCAGCCTGCAGCAGCTGCAGAAGAGAACCTGGAGACACTGTGGGGTAAGTGAAGCAAAGACAAGCCCATTGGCACCCTCCACAGGGAGTGCAGGAGGCGGCAGAGCAGAGGGCGAGGGGCAGAGCAGAAGGTGAGAGGCAGAGCCCAGCGTGTTTTCCCAGCCAGGAGGACTCAGCTCTCCGCTGTTGATGGGACGGACATGAAGCGAGAGAGGAGGGTGGCCAGGAAAGGAAGTGAAGGACCAAATAAGAAAATGTAATGGATCGACCAGTTGCCCCACCCATCTATCCGTAGTCGGAGGCTCTCGTGGAACCTTTGTGGCCATGGGGAACTCACTTGGCAGCTGTCCCTGTGCTGGGAACTCACACATAGTCACTCGCTGACCCTCGTATCTATCTAGGCTCTGACTTTTCCTCTTTTATTTTCTGTTTTATTTTGAAATATCACAGATTCACAGGAGGTTCCGTGCATAGAACAGGAAGCTTTAGGAACTCTTAACCTTGTTTCCTCTCAGAGGTGCCATCTGACGATAAAACTCTGGTCCCCAAGCCAGGATTTTTAGATTGGTACCATGTGTGTACGGCTCTATGGCATTTTCTCATGTCGGCTCCTCGAACCAGCATAGTAATCAAAATTCAGAATGCGGGGCAGGGGATTTAGCTTAGTGGCACAGCGCCTGCCTGACAAACATGAGGTCCTGAGTTTGATTCCTAGTACCCACCCCCAAAGACAACTCAGAATACACCTCACAGGGCACAGAGTCCATGCAGGCATCTCTCATGTGACCCCTGATAAGCCGGCCACCCTGCCACCTGCCACTCCATGCCCTGTGGTCACAAACCTTCTGCACAGCTCCCCAGTGTCCCAATTTTGAGTAGTCATAAAGGTGAAATTATGCAATATTTACAAACTTTGGAAATTCCCTTCTCTTTCTCACTCAGCACCATTAAAATTCATCAATGTTGCTGCATTTGTCAACAATTTCTTCCTCATTATTCTCACCACTCTTTTACAGTACACATGCACTGCTTCTGTTTAACAGACACTGTCTAGAACATGTCAGCTATCTAGTTTGAGGCTTTTACAAGTGAAGGGGTTACTAAAATCTTAGTCACACATTTTCATGTGGGCATAAGCTTTGTGCAAATGCAATTGTCTAAGAGTACAGAGACTGGGTTGAATGGAAGTATGTGTATAAGAAAATACCAAACTATTTTGCACAGACAGCCCATTCGGGAGTGCTCCTATCTCAGGAGCTATTCCTATTCCACATTCCTTTCCTCCAATAAATTTTCCAGCTCTTAAAAAAATTTGCAGAGCAGCTGCACCATTTTACATTCCCACCAGCAACATACGAAAGATCCATGAGTTCTACATCCCCAGCTGCCCCCCCCCATTTTTTGTGTGGTTTTAATTTGGGGACAGAATCTTGCTAAGTTGCCTGAGCTAGAATCAAATTTGTAATCTGCCTACCTCAGCTTCCCAGGGTACTGGGGTTCCAGGAGACTGCCATCATGCCTGACTTAAAAAATGTTTTATGCCTTTCTGTAACATGGTTTTCATCATTGACAAGGTCATTAGCAAATCAAAGGTTTTAATTTTTTACAATGTTTCACTGATTAATTGATTTATATCTATTCTCCTTTTCATTTTATGCTATTCCTTCCCTAAGTCTTTGCAGGATGTTCCCTGCTGAAAGTTGCATGGTTCAATATTTTGCATTTCACTATGCAATGAGCAATGGTGCTATGGCAATATGCAAGGCTAAGTATAAAGACAATTTTAAAAGAGAGTTTGAGAGCTTATGCTATATGCACAATCATTAAAGAATGCAGCTTGGTTGTATGTCTAACCAAGCACAGGGTTACTAAAACTCATAGAAGAGCAAAGATATTTATGGTTTAAAATAAGCTATCATTACATACAAATCAAACTGGCAATACATGATTTTTCCTTAAGCTATACCATGACTGAAGGAAAAATCAGCTTTGTGAAGATTGCAAGCATATGCTTATCTGAAAAATGAGCAGATCAGTTCATAAAGAAACTCACACGTGAGTAGCAAAACATCAGTGCCAACTATATGAAGCCATCAAATGTGTGTACACTGATTGTACCCAAGAAGATTCTCCTATCACAACTGTTTCTAAATTAAAGATCAGGAACCAAGTGATAAAAATTGTAAATGACTAAGAAAAAAGGCAAGCTGCTGAAATAGTGCAAAATCACATTTTAATCCTGCCTCATGCAAACACAGTATAAATGATTATTTAATAGACTGGAAAAGTATATTAATCTGTAGTCTGAGAATCACACAAAGAAAGTTGGTTTTCTTCACCGTAAAATGAACTCATCCAATCCTAAAATTCACTGACTATGTGTGACATCTTTTCAAGAAAATAGGGGAAGATGGTTGGAAAGTATAAATTCTATGTGATTATCTATTGGGAAAGTGCAAGTCAAAAGCAGTGACCTGAATCATTACAACTTATACCATTGAAAATGTCCCAGCAAATTCATTTATTTTCTTTGGCCTTCTCTCCATCCTGTCCAGATGTTTGGGAGCCATGACCCAAGGAAATGCCACCGAGGTGACTGAATTCTATCTGCTGGGATTTGGTGGCCAGCAGCAGTACCAGTCTGCCCTCTTCATTGCTTTTCTTGTGATCTACATGACGTCCATGGTGGGTAACACTGGGATGATCCTGCTCATCAACACAGATTCCAGACTCCAAACACCCATGTACTTCTTCTTGCAACATCTGGCTTTTGTGGACATCTGCTACACATCTGCTATCACTCCCAAGATGCTCCAGAACTTCATGGTAGAAGACAAATCCATATCCTTCAGAGGATGTGTGATCCAGTTATTGGTGTATGCGATATTTGTGACCAGTGACTGCTACCTCCTGGCAGCTATGGCAGTGGACCGTTACGTAGCCATCTGTAAGCCGCTTCGCTATCCCTTAATCATGTCCCGAACAGTCTGCATCCTGCTGGTAGCTGGTGCGTATTTCATAGGATCACTAAATGCTTCCGTACACACAGGATTTGCATTTTCTCTGTCCTTCTGTAAGTCCAACATTATCAATCACTTTTTCTGTGATGGTCCCCCGATTCTCGCCCTCTCATGTTCAAACACTGACGTCAATATCATGCTAATGGTTATTTTAGTAGGGTTCAACTTGACATTCACTGTGTCGGTCGTGATCTTCTCCTACGTCTGCATCCTGGCCACCATCCTAAAGATGTCCTCTGCTGCGGGGAGGAAGAAGACCTTCTCCACCTGTGCCTCCCACCTCACCGCTGTCACCATCTACTATGGAACCCTGTGTTACATGTACTTACAGCCTCCTTCTGAGCACTCCCAGGAGAATATGAAAGTGGCCTCCGTATTCTATGGCACTGTGATCCCCATGTTGAACCCTCTGATCTACAGCTTGAGAAACAAGGAGGTCAAAGAAGCTGCAAAAGTGATAGGGAAAAAGTTCTTCAGATTAAATCTAAATTGTTAAAATTCAGCACCTCAGAGCATGCAGTGCATATGTGCTACCACATTTAATTATTCTAAATTTGAAGATGTTCAGTATTCAAATCAGGGTTAACCTTTCAATGCACGTAATCTTAGACTGTGCAAGGTATTCTAAGACTTCTCCTGAGACTTATGTTCCCTGGAATACAGGTTGAAAAATATATCTTTTGCAAAGAACAGAGAAGTCCTAACAGAGGTTATTAAAAATATAGGGAAGCATGCATGAACTGAAAAAATTACTATTTCCAATGTTTTTAAAACATTTTAATTGTTGGAAAAATACATATTACATACAACTATCATTAAATTTTCATTTCCTTTTTGTTTTAAATGTTTTTAAATGTTCTTTTAAATGTTTCTTAAATTGTCTAAAATGATTTTCATTTCAATTCTATTTACACTATGATAATGAGTTAAATTGTTAAAATGTATATAAGTGGATGAATTGCTTTTTTAAAAATTGTGATGCAAGCTTCATTCTTCCCATATTTGATACATTCCTTGCCACTCAAAAGCACCTATGTCAGAGGATGACACAGAAGAGGAGAACACCAACTAAACACACAGGTCATTGGAAGGAGGGAAAGGATTTACACCCTGATACAAAAAATCACTTTGAAAGAAGATGCTTGTACATCAAAGAGTACCCACAGATGGTCAAAAGAGCAGAAGTGATCGCTTCTCGGCCTTTTGGCTAAGATCAAGTGTAGAGAAGACGTGGTCTGCAGGTCCCTATGTGTGCCCACACAGGAACACCCATCTTGAGAATGTCCCAAACAGCTGGAGGGAATCAAGGAGTGAGGCCCAATCTAGCCTCCTGGGGTAGACTTGGGGTGTACAGATCACCTCTTCACCTCGTCCCTTACAAACCCCGAGGATGCTGCAGTCAATGCAGGTGCCTCAGGTTAGCCCCACACCAACTAGCACCTTCCTCTGCCATGCGGAGCTAGTGCTGGTGCTGTTCAAGGTTGTGTCAGACATGCTAAGATCGCTTGAGTTCCTTCCTGGGGCTCACTGCCCTGCACCACCCGCCTAGACATGCCGGAGACTACTTCTGACACACAGCAGCAATCTCAGGTGCCGCGGATCCTCCCAGGGAGCCCCAGTCCCATGTGAGTTTCTATTTGGGGCAGGGGGTTTACCAGAGTCCTGACTCAGCATGAGGCTCTGCAACCCAAACCCAGGCACAACGGCATCTCAATCTTGCATGTCACCGTGGTCCCTGGGAAAGGTCCTCTGTCGGATTTGCAGCAACGGTTAAAGATCTGCCTGCTTTGTGTCGTGTCCCAGATCCCCAGGAGACAGTACCCAGCAACCCGTGTCCTCCTCAGGCCTAGAATCCCCCCACACCAATCCTGGGTACACTGGTGCCTCCCTGAGCCTCCCAGGTTTTGAGCTGGTCCCATGGACAAGGGAATATACTTCCGCTACCCACCTTGGTCCCCACCCAGCCTGGACAGTTGGCACAATAGGAGTGTACCAATAGGAGACCCCACACAAGTTCACAGGCTAAAGAGGAGCAAAGAGAAATGGGACATGTGGGATTAAAGACTGCAATCTGGAAATACATAGGAATTTTTTTCTCCTTTTTATTCTCTCTTCTTTGATCTAATTTTTTTCTTCTCCTACTGGTATTTTTTTCTTTTCATAGAGTTCAGAGTTTTGTCACACGTTTTCTTATTCTCTGTTTTTACTGTTACTTTGGTCTACTTCTTTGAATAGATTCTCTCTGTCTGTCTCTGTCTCTCTCTACCTCTGTCTCTCTGTGTCTCTCTCTGTCTCTCAGCTTCTGTCTGTCTCTCTCTGTCTCTCTGTCTCTCTGCCTCTGTCTCCCCATCTCTCTCTCTTTCTCTCCCTCCCATCTTTTCTTGCTATCTTTCACACTTGTTTCCTTAGTGGTTTTTTCCATCTAGTTTAATCTCTATCCCTTATTATATATACTTTCTCTAGTATTTTTTCTGTTACTATTATCTAATACTATTAATGTTCTTTTACTCCTTAAAGCAGCTCATAACAGTCTTACCACCTTCTTCCCATCTTCCATGGCTTAATTTTTTAATCTATTTTTTCTTTCTTTTCTCTTCATGCACCTTATCCTTACCCTTACGAATCTATAGATAACTAACTATATCTTACTATGGTTGAAGACTGTTCTATTGTGAATGGAGTTTAAATTGCTCTATTCTGTTGGCATTCACTTTGTATCAACATCTGCTCTGTTTTACAATTCGTGCCATAACTGTAGATCTCATCTTTATGGTTAAAAGTGGTACAGTGTTAGCCATGGTTGGCCATTACCCAGTTCACATTTGGTTCTACTGTTGTTGCTGATTTTACTGTTTTACCCAACGTGAAATATTTGTCGCTATCAATGAGTTTTCTCTACATACCAATATGTAGATTCCCTGGGTGTCATACACAATACTACAGTCCATTGAATGAACTAGCTATGGGCCAATTAGACTGAAAACTTCTCTCCCTAATAAACAAGAGATTGGCTCCTGGGACAACCCCAAAGGCCAATAGCCAGCTACCTCTGGAGGACATCTCTGAAAAGCAGTCATCACCCAAAGACTAGCAATAAAGCTACCCACCATAAGCAATTCTCAAGCCTCAACATAGAAAGTAAATAAACAAACAAAAAATAGAAAATGAGAAAACAAGAAAGAAAAATGATCCCAAAAGCCCCCAACTCCCCCAAAGCAAATACAGGGGACAACAAGGGGAAAGACACCCAAAGCCACACACCCAAAATACCTGAAATGGTAGCAGTAGCAATAACAAAACAGATTAATAAGATGGTAGTTGAATTCAAAGCAGAGATAATTAGAGAGTTAATGGCCTGATAAAATAACTGACTAGCAAGTCTAGAGAAGATACTAATTAAAAAATAGAGGAGCTAAAGAAAGACATGCAAACCGTGAATGCCCAACACAGAAAAGAACCAGAGTCATAAAAGATCTCCAACAAATGCGGGAGATTAAATCTCTACCGAAAGTACATTGCACAAGCAGCAGAATCCATCAGTGAGGGAACAGAATACCGGACAGGGCTGTATTTGGTGATCAACTAATGAACTACATCTTAAAAATAGCAGGGACTATGAAAAATAGATCCAGGAGCTGCTAGATGACACAAAGAAAACTAACCTAAGATAAATTGGATTTGAATTCAGGTTAGATTTAGAGTTCTTTCTACAGAAAGCTGTGCTTTTCACCAATTAGGGTGACGAAGAGAGGTTTAACTATATCTAACCACAGATTTTTAGAGATGCAATATGTGCTCCACCTAATGCATAACAAGAAAAAAGAAATCGTTGTTAAACAACAATTGACATGAAATAGCATTATCCCCTCTAGAAATTACAGAAATATTTTTTTAAAACTGTCCTCTGGGGAGAAGGTAAATTTTCTTTACCCAAACATTACCATGAACATTGTTTTTCTTAATTCTACCTAAGCCCCAGGAGGCTCAGGTTCTCCGAAGAAGTAGATATATTGATCCCTTGGGCACAGCTATAAACTCCCAGATAGGGAAGCACCGCAACCACACCTCGGAGGCAGGCAGCCTGCACCACCTGCGGAGAGAGATTCCAGAGAGAACTCTGATGCCAGTTAAGCAGAGAGAATCCCCTCCCCAGCTTCCGCTGCGTCCCCCGGCGGCGAGTGCGGGAGGCAGCAGAGCAGAAGGTGAGAGACACAGCCCAGCGTGTTTGCCCTCTGGCTAGGACTCAGCTCCCCGCTGGTGATGGGATGGAAACCCAGGGAGAGGGGAGAGTTGCCTGGGAAAGAAGACGAAGGAAGGAATAAGTGAATGTAATGGATCGACATCGATCTATCAGTAGTGCGAGGTTCTCATGGAGCCTTTGCATGGGTGGTTGTGGCCATGGGGAGCTCAGCGGCTGTCCTTGTGCTGCGAGCTCACACATAGTCACTCGCTGACCCTCACGTCACCTCAGAGTAGGCTGTGATTTTTTTCCTCTTTATTTTTATTCGAAATCTTATGTTGAAACACTCAGCTATTCACAGGAGGTGCCAAACATAGAGCAGAGAACTCCTGTGAACCTTTTACACAGCTGTCCCTCCATGGAGACATCTGACAATAAAACTCTGGTCCCCAAGATTTTTAGCCTGGTGCCATGCGCGTGTGGCTCTAGGTCATTTTCTTATATCGGGCCCTGGAACCAGCATAGTAGTCGAGATGCAGAATACAGCTCACAGGGCGCAGAGTCCATGCAGGCGTCCCTCATCCTGGCCCGACAAGCCGGCCAGCCCGCCACTCTGCGCCCGGTGGTCTCTAACCTTCTCTCCAGCTCCAGTGTCCTCATTTGGGGAGTGCTGTGAAAGTGATCTTTGGAGATGGCTTTTCTTTTTACTCAGTGCTACTGAGATTCACCTACATTTGTGCTTTGATCAATTAATCTGCTCTTCGTTTCTAAGTACTATTTTGCAGTACAGTTGTACTGTAATTTGTTTCAGAAATAATCCTTGAGAGAACATTTTGGGTGTTTATAGGTTGGTGCTATTACAAGTGTTATAAAAGTGGGTTGTGTGTTTTAGAGTGAGCTTAAGTTTTGTGGAAACAGAACTGTCTAAGAGTGCAAGAACTGGGCTGTGTGGTAGTGTATGTGTCGATTTTTCAGAAACTACCAAACAAAGTCACTTCCCAGAGTGACTGCACCATTTTTCATTCCCACCAGCATGTATGAGAGAGCCACTAGCTCAGTAGCTCTGCAATCTTTTAGTAATGTCTGAATTTTATTTTATCCAGAACAGTATGTCAGGGGGCTGGGGATTTAGCTCAGCGGCAAAAGCGCCTGCCTGGCAAGTGCAAGGTCGTGAGTTCGGTTCCCGGTACCGGAGAAAAACCAAAAAAAAAAAAAAAAAAAAAAAAAAACACTATGTCTGTGTAGTCCTGTGACATCGTGTTTAGTGTAGTGGTATTACATTTTCATGATATGCACTTCTTGAGGACCTGAGACAT